GAAGTTTTGAGGTGGTTTGAATTGAAAATTCCGTAAAAACCGAACATGAAAAAAATGATATGTGTATCACACTGTGTATCATTTATGTATCACATATGTATCATATTTGTATCTATTGTGTATCACATGTATATCCATGTATACCTGTGTGTGAGATACATGCGTGATACATGTTTGATACTGTGTCGCAAAAGACTTTTTTGAACTCGATTAAATTATGAATTTTGATACAAAACCAGTCCAAATCACCTCCAATCCTCCTCAAATTTTGTATATTGACTTATCTATATATTTTCAATGAATTTCAACTATACCCATTGAAAAAGTTCCTTTTTTGCTTAGAATTTTGGAATATTGTATATATTTTTTGTATTTCATCCCCTTATTTGCTACCTCATCCATAAAATTTCCTTTCGGTCTTGTATCTAGTGTTGCTAATCACGCTTAAAAATATGGAAGGTGATTTTTGCATGTGATTCTTTGAGAGAAAAAACCCTATTATTTGGTTTTTCAATTTTTGTTGGCTAGTTTTGGTAAGTCTATGATTAATGGCTAGAGGTTGGTAAGTTGAGATTTATTTGGGACATTTGTGTAAGTTTCCCTAATATATCTGGGCACATTTATGTGGACCAACTAAATGGTGCAAGTTTTTTTATGAAGAATTAACCCAAATAGCTGCCTATCCAAGCGCTTAAACTAAAAATAGCCGGTGGAGGTATAATATAAGCATAATTTAGATATTATATGTATATAATAGTGTATAATTAATGTATATTATATGTATATGGCCACTTAAACTAAAAATAATATGCATCATTTATGTATTATATGTTATTATTGTGTATAATTAATGTATATAGCTGGAAAAAGTAAACAATAAATATGATTGGCTGTTTGGGTAAGGATCCCTTTTTTTATCCCAAAGATCGTTTTTAGGCCCATCAATATCTGGTTCTCAAGGTGTTGATAACTCATTACTCATTAGTTGATTATTTTTCTTTTAAAACGAATAAGTTACTAAAGAGAAAATTTACCTCGAAAAAAACTGCAAATCGGTGTAAAATCAAAGATAGAATTAAAATTGATGTTCGCTAGCCAAAGATAATATAGTTTAATTATCGTCTTCACAGGGATTGAATTTAATAATGTTCGAGTAATTTTTGGTTTAACGCTATTCAAGATGATTAACACTTCGATTGGAATGATTATGAACTATACTTAAAGACTAAAAGTAAAGTAGATGACGATTGATTTCGAAGAACTAGAGATTAGCATAATTGGGTTGTTATCAGTATGAGAAATAAGGCTCATGACATGACAGGTGCAAGATTTTTATCTTGAAATTGACAATGTTAAATTTCACTATTAATGTTCTATTGATACTCTCAAATTCAGTAGGTTATTATCCTATTATTCTGACTCAGGTTCCTCTCTGGATTAAACCTAAACCGCTTAAATAAGCTAATATGAAGTGCGATGAAACTTGCAAGAATCTATTGGTAAGAATGGTCTAAGAGAAACTTCTTTCGATTACTTTAAAGAAGTACCAAAATAAATTAAGGCATGCGTTGCAACAATATTCAATATTATGCTCCTCTTCCGATTAAATACGATAATGAATAAAATCACAACTAGAGTTAAAACTCTTCCAATAAATTCAAGCAATTAAACAATAATAAAATCCATGGATAACAATCAAGTCACAAAATCATATCGTACCCTAAGGGAAACTAATAGATAATTATGGAGAAAGTCATCACAAGTAGAGTTAAAGAGTAAGAAAATATCAATCCAACGTTACAATCCAAACTCCTGTATCAAATTGATGGAAAGATAATAAAATCACGTGTCTTGAAGCCTCCAATGCTTTCCAAAAGCTCCCAAGGTTAAGAGTCCTCTCAAAATCATATTTTTGATGTATTTATACCGTGTATAAGCAGATCCGGACAAAACTAATCTTTCCAAGCCGAAGTGGAAAATTATTCTAAGAAAAATACACAGGCGCACCGCGTTGCGCCAGTGGGAAAGTTCATAGAGCAGGTTTTTTTCACTCTACAGGAATAGTGTACTAGCACCTTGTGCCCCGCAACAGGCCCCGTGGAGCGGAAGTGCATTTTTCTCCGAGTAATTTTTTTCTGACATTCAGACTTGGTCCTCGATCCCCGAACACGATCCCAACTTAATTTTTTGAGCTTCTACTCAAACTTCAAAGCTCCAAATCATCCACTTTAGCTCCAAACTTGTTTCTTCACTCGAAATCACATCCTACACAACACAACACCATACTAAGTACAAATTATTAGCAATTAGGTTAAAATACAATCAAAAAGTGTGGTAATTAGAGTGCGAAATATAGTTAAAAACAGTGAGCTCCTAGCCTACCATCAATAGACAAGGACTTTCTGGCACATAAGTATTTTTGTAAGCTTATGAAACCTAAAGTTTCTCAACGATTGAAGTTTTTTCTCTCTCCATTTCTTTGGAAGTTGAATTGAAAGTTAAAAGACTACATATAATTTTGTAGAAAAGGAGTTGTGTGTACAATAATAAAATGGCATCGACATGGATTTGATTGATGGCTTATCCTCCTAGATGAGTAAACTGCATTTCTCTTTTCCCTTTAACTTCCTTTCGACCTCTTCAATCTTGTTTTACATAGTTAACTAACACGAAGACAACAATCCAGCGGAACAAATAACAATTAATAAGCTGTGAGATTTAAATTGTAATACTTTGGTTCGAATTGTACAATTTTATTTTTCATTTCCTACTTTTACTTCTATAAGCTTCCCAATAATAACGATATTGCGGAAATTATGTTTCGGAATTGTCCGCTTATAGCAAGAAAAAGTGTCTATTGATACAATTTCACTTCATGACACGGCAAAGAAAAACAAATTTACTGACAACTACCTCTTTCTCTTCTCTCAAGTCTACAACAAATAAGGGGGAAATGCAAAATTCGAACCTACATAAAAAATCACTTTTTTCAAGTCTTTAATACTTCATTTTTTTCAAAATTTTCACTCAAATCATTCACAAAACTCAAAAAAATAACTCAAAATTATATTCATGTCCAAACACAACTCTAAATTTCAAATTTCATTTTCACTTGAGAAAATGTTTCACCATTTTTTGGAATTTTACAATTCTTATGTCCAAACGCCCACTTAGACTAAGATAGGTCATTTCTCAATCACTTACATTTTTAGACACTCAGTTAGACTATTACCTCTAAGATACTTAACTTATGTCGAAAATGTAACTACTTCTCCAGAAAAATCACTTTTAGCCTGCAATTGAAACTATTTATATTCGTTAGTCGCAAAAGTATATAAAATTTATATATGTTTGCATATAACATACAGAAATGAGTATATATAAAATATATATGTTTTTCTGACTATTATGTTAAGAGTGCTATACTATATCATTTTTCCCAAAAGGGAAATGGCACTAAGCCCAGGCCCATTAAAGTAGACAGCCAGCTTAAATTCCAAATTCCCCCTAGTCCCTCCTTCACTCAGTTGTTCAAATTCCTCTCGCTCGGCCAATCGCAAATCCATCGCTCGGAAAAGGTACTCTTCAATCTCCATATTTCAATTCCAAAAAACCCTAGTTGCATTCATATGCTATACGTATATCTATAGATCACAAGTTTTTCAATATACTCTGAAGTAAAACCCTAGAATGGAGTGGAACCCCGAAACCCTACAATTTCTGTCCCAATGCTTCCTTAATACGCTATCTCCGTTACCGGAGCCACGCCGTCGAGCTGAAGCGGCACTTGCCGAGGCCTCTGAGAGATCTAACTATGGCCTCGCCGTGCTTCAGCTCGTAGCTGAGCCTTCTGTTGATGAGCAGATTCGTCATGCTGCTGCCGTTAACTTTAAAAATCATCTCAAGGCCCGTTGGGCTCCATCTCCTCCTAAAGAACCAAATGTTCCATCCTTAACCCCAATTTCAAACTCTGAAAAGGAGCTTATTAAGAGTTTGATTGTTTCTCTTATGCTTAAGTTGTCACCCAAGATACAGTCTCAGCTCAGCGAAGCATTGGCCGTGATTGGTAAGCATGATTTCCCGTTACAGTGGCCCACTTTGTTGCCTGAGCTTGTTGCCAACCTTGTTAGTTTGACACAAGCGAATGATTATGTTTCTGTTAATGGTGTTTTAGCTACGATTAATTCTTTGTTTAAGAAGTTTCGATATCAGTTTAAGACCAATGAGTTGCTTGTCGATTTGAAAGAATGTCTTGATAAGTTTGCGAAGCCACTTTTGGAACTGTTTAAAAGAACAGTGAATGTAATCGATCAAGCTGTGGCATCTGGGGCTGCAGATGCAGCGACTCTGAAACTGTACGTAGAGTCTCAGAGGTTGTGCTGTAGGATATTTTATTCGTTGAATTTTCAGGAGTTGCCTGAGTTCTTTGAGGACCATATGGATGAGTGGATGATTGAGTTTAAGAAGTATCTCACTGTGAAGTACCCCGTGCTTGAGGACAGTGGGAATGATGGTCTTGCTGTTGTCGATGGCCTGCGTGCTGCAGTGTGTGAAAATATTGGTCTTTATATGGAGAAGGAGGAGGAACTGTTCCAGAAGTACTTAAGCGGGTTCGTGGAGGCTGTATGGAGTCTTCTTGTGGTTTCATCTGCATCTTCTAGCAGGGAACGACTAACTGTTACTGCTATCAAGTTCTTAACCACTGTTAGTACAAGTGTTCATCATGCTCTCTTTGAAAGAGATGACATTTTGGAACAGATTTGTCAGAGTATTGTTATTCCCAATGTGATGTTGAGGGATGAGGATGAGGAGTTGTTTGAAATGAACTATATTGAGTTTATTAGAAGGGATATGGAAGGGAGTGATCTTGACACGAGGAGGAGGATTGCATGTGAACTGCTCAAGGGCATTGCCATGCATTACAAAGTCAAGGTCACGGAGAAGGTTTCCCTTCAAATCAAAAATTGTTTGGCCTTGTTTGCTCAGAATCCAGAAGCAAATTGGAAATATAAGGATTGTGCTATCTATTTGGTCGTCTCCCTTGCAACTAAAAAGGCAGGTGGTAGTTCAGTCTCAACTGATCTTATAGATGTTGAGAACTTTTTTGGTTCAGTTATTGTACCTGAGCTGCAAAGTAGGGATGTGAATGCTTTTCCAATGTTGAAGGCAGGTGCATTGAAGTTCTTTACTATGTTTAGAAATCAGCTGCCAAAGGCTGTTGCAATGGCATTGCTTCCAGATGTTGTGCGTTTCCTTGCTGCAGAGTCCAATGTAGTTCATTCTTATGCTGCGAGTTGCATTGAGAAACTCTTGCTTGTCAAAGATGAAGGGACACGAGCAAGATATACAGCCACAGATATTAGTCCCTTTTTGCTTGTGTTGATGTCGAACCTTTTCAGTGCCTTGGAGAAGCCAGAATCCGAGGAGAATCAATATATAATGAAGTGTATCATGCGAGTGCTTGGAGTTGCTGAAATTTCTCGTGATGTTGCTTCAGCTTGCATAACTGGTCTGACAAATGTTCTCAACAGAGTCTGCCAGAACCCAAAAAATCCTATCTTCAACCATTATCTCTTCGAATCAGTCGCTGTTCTTATTAGGAGAGCCTGTGAGAGGGATCCTACTCTCATATCTGCTTTTGAAGGAAGCCTTTTCCCTAGCCTCCAGATGATTTTAGCTAATGATGTGAGCGAGTTCTTCCCTTATGCATTCCAACTGTTGTCCCAGCTTGTTGAGTTGAATAGACCTCCTGTACCTCAGCACTACGTGCAGATCTTTGAGATTCTCCTTTTACCTGAGTCATGGAAAAAGTCGGCAAATGTTCCTGCTCTTGTTCGCTTGCTCCAAGCATTCCTTCGCAAGGCACCCCATGAGCTTAACCAACAGGGCAGGCTGTCTAATGTTCTGGGTATTTTCAATACACTAATTTCATCTCCCAGCACAGATGAACAGGGGTTTTATGTGCTCAACACGGTTATTGAAAACCTTGGGTATGATGTGATATCACCTTTTGTTGGCCACATTTGGGTTTCACTTTTTAATCGGCTGCAGCATGGCAGAACAGTGAAGTTTATGAAGAATCTTGTGATATTTATGTCTCTTTTCTTGGTCAAGCATGGGTTACAAAATCTTGTGGTTTCGATGAATGCTGTTCAAAAGGATGTCTTCCATACAATTGTGGAGCAATTTTGGGTACCTAACCTCAAGTTAATCACAGGATCAGTTGAACTCAAGCTGACTTCAGTTGCTTCAACTAAACTAATATGTGAATCTTCAACATTATTGGATTCTAAGGTTCGGGGCAAAATGCTTGACAGTATTGTTACTCTTATCTCTAGGCCAGAGGAAGAGAGACTGTCGGAGGAGCCAGACGTTCCAGACTTTGGGGAGACTGTGGGTTATAATGCAACTTTTGTCCATCTTTATAATGCTGGGAAGAAAGAAGAGGACCCTTTGAAGGAAGTGAATGATCCAAAGCAATATTTGGTGGCTTCCTTGGCAAATCATGCTGCTAGTTCCCCCGGGACATATCCACAACTTATTAGGGAAAATCTTGAGGCAGCAAATCAAGCAGCACTTCTTCAGCTCTGCAGCTCCTATAATCTTTCAATTGTTTGAGAACAATCTGGGTGGTGGTATGCCTTCTTCTTGGTGCTTTTTTGTCCCGTTTAATTGTCATTTGATGTTGTCCAATCAATACTTCTCATTTTTAAGGATTAATCTTAATGGTAGTGTTTGGAATTTTTGTGTCGTACATCTTTATTTAAATGACTCATTGAAAAGAAGATTCATTGAATCTGTCTTAGAATCCTGTGTTCAGGTTATCAGCAATTATTTTTTCTCTCACTGTTCTACTCGAAGGAAAATAAATTGATAGAAAAGTTATGCTTGCAGATATTACCTAATTAATTATTTTAGGTGATAATAGAGTTGCTTGAGTTAACAATCGTTTTGCTTTTTTTCTTTTTCTTATTGTGCCATTAGTTTGACTATAACGAACGACTGTTTATTGAATTGTAGAGTCTGGTCATTTTGTCACATTGAGCATTGTAAAAGTAGGACAGCTTAACTTTTTTTGGTTTAGCTACATTTATTGTGGTGGGAATTGTGATAGTTTAGTGCGCCAAGTTGCTTATATCAGATATCCCTGATGTTTAATATGTGTGCTTCGTAAGTGGCTGCTTCCTGCTCATTGAAGTTAGTTTGCAGTTCGAGGTTCTTTATGCGATTTTTTAGGCTGCCAAGCATTTTTGCGACATTTTTTGCTTATGATAAATTTTAGCTTAATCATATGCTGATGAACATATGTTTTGTTCAGCCCCCAGTCCCTTTGCTTAACAGAAAGATTATACAGTGCAGGATTCACATCACAACTTTGAATCTGTGCTGGTGAACTAGGTCTAGTATTTAAATGGAGAAAGGCAGGGCAAGAGGAGCCCACCCATTATTCACCAAGTTCCAAGCTAGAAACAATGTATTTATTGGTTATTAAAAAAAAGGGCCTTTGTTCAGAAAAAAAGAGTTGTCTGATGGAGATTTGTGACAACAACAACAACGACCCAGTAAAATCCCACTAGTGGGGTCTGGGGAGGGTAGTGTGTACGCAGACCTTACCCCTACCCCGAAGGAGTAGAGAGGTTGTTTTTTCGAAAGACCCTCGGCTCAAGAAGACAAAAAGAGGCAATATCAGTACCACCGTAGAAATCATAGGAAATATAACAACATGAAAACCAGAAGGTAGATGCAAAGCAAAAGTGATCGCCAGTAAATAGACCCGGCACTATGAGAAACGAAAGAGTAGTAAGACACAACATTGCCACTAGCTATATTGGACAAAACCCCTACCAGACTAGTCTCACAAAGGTACGAAGTAAGGCAAGACTCAACTACCTCCTAACCTACAACCCTAATACTCGACCTCCACAGCTTCCTATCAAGGGCCATGTCCTCGGAAATCTGAAGCCTCGCCATGTCCTGCCCGATCACCTCTCCCCAATACTTCTTAGGCCGCCCTCTACCTTTTTTCGTGCCCTCCACAGCCAACAGCTCACACCTCCTTACCGGAGCATCTAGGTTTCTCCTCTGTACATGTCCGAACCATCTGAGCCTTGCTTCCCGCATCTTGTCATCAATGGGAGCCACGCTCACCTTCTCCCGAATATCATCATTCCTGATGGAGATTTGTAACTTATGCGAAATATACAATTCGCCTTATCAGTGAAAAGATTAATCTATATTCATTGGTTCCTGTCTCATAATCTTATACTTGAAGGCATGTTGTAATATGGCTCAAGCTGCTGATACAGACACATTCAAGGATGCTTGTCACCATCGCAGACTGACCCTTTTTATGGCTCGGTTTATTTTTGTCTTCAAAGAACGTTCCCAGTTTGCTTCTCGTGTTTGTATGTTTGCTGTCCTTCTACCTTCTGCATTCTATCTCTCAGTTTTCACATTCCTCTCTTTTCCTCTATCGGTGGAGCATTCTTAGTTAGAAAAGGCCATGCTTTCTCCAGCCTTGGTTTTGCCTCTTATTAACCTGTTTGTATGTGTCAGATGAATCTTATTCTGTCTTTTATGAAATCAGAAATTTCAAAATTTATGATCTTTGCATTTGGCATTTGCCTAATTTACTGACTGAACTTGTTTTGGAACTTCCTTGCATAACATGTCTCGTGATGCATTGGCATCTGCATATCCTGGCATTACTTCAACTTCATATAATTTGGGTTTCTTGTGTGTTGGAATGTTTCCTACGTTTATCAGCCCCGAAACGAAAAACTAACTACAGCTATGAATATTGTTCAATGAAATGTCACGGGTTTAGGGCAGATAATGTGCCTCTGCCCCTTTTTGTTAAAGGATGCACCATTGATGAGCGGATATTAAGTAAAATGTCTTGACTTGACGCTGAATAACTCGAATCTATATCTCTATTATCTATTAGGCACTTGGCAATATGATGGTCAAGCTCAGTTCTGTGCTTGTATCTTTGTTTGTCATCACTTCATTATGTTGCATGAACTCATGCTTAAGAAAAGGGAATTGGGTTACGCATCCATTTTTACCATTGTTCTTGAAATTTCTTGCATGGTCGATTTTGTTATCTCTTGTTTTGTTTCTTTCTTTAACTCTGCCATGGACTAGGACTTCACTTCTTAAGGTCTTAAATCTGTCGTTTGACCTCTGTTTTCTCATTTCAATGTACCTTTGGATCTGCTTTATCCACAGGGCGCCTTTCAACTTATATGCCTTTTAAGTTATTTTTATATGCCTGATTTCTCGCAGGTACTCTCAGGATCTGTCATCAAGAAGACGTGTTCGTGGGTGCTCCGGAAATTGGTTCTTCCCTCCTTGCACTTCTCTTTTATGTTGCTTATGGATCTGCTTATGGAAACCTTTCTCTTTTATGTTGCTTATGGATCTAGTTTGCAAGTCGTCTTTTTTCAGTTGTGGAGTTTGCACTGTGCGTCCAGCTTTCCTTCTTTCATCTTCCTGTCGCCAGTGGCAGTAGCCTCTATTGCCTCTACATTTCCAAATGAGAAAGGTTTAGTCTTAGTCTTGAGGGATATAGTCAAGGGTTTGCTTCATCAAGGGTTTTGATGTGTATGTGGTCAAGAAAAAATAGAAATGGTCAAACACCTAAAATTTTCAAGGTTGAGTTGTTGTCATGGTCATTTTTCTATTTCGTGCTTGTTAAACTTTGTGCTCACTGCTTCTACGGTGGAATATAATCATTGCGGCATCTGGTGTATCAGGATTCAGGATAGCATTTTTATATGTTTTTCTCCCCTTTTTAAATTTTCTTTCAAGTTCATCTGGATTAGTGTATAATTAGCAGGACTATAAGATTGGATAGCTATCAGTATGTGTGGTTATTATAGCACGTTATGAAAGGAAAATTATAGTTTCGATGTAGAATTTCAAAATACCATAAAAGGAGGAGCAAATAAATCGTTGTCTTTTATTCTGGATCGAATCGTTGTCTTTTATTGTGGTGTAAATTTTATCTCATCGGCCCTTCGTTTTATAAGTTTTGACATATACCATCCCTAACATGTGTGGTAAATCTTTTATACTACTATAATTTTGTACATCTTATGATTCTCTTTATTGTGTATTACTCTTTTAGTATAATACACGTCGCTTTAGATTTTTAAGAATAAAACACAACTCAAACACGAGAATTTCATAAATATATGTTTGAAATACAGCCGTCCAAACATAAGTTGTTTTCCAGAAAACTCTAAAAAACATTTCTAAAAATTTCTCGAAAAGACCTTCCCAGAAAATTATCGGAAACGCCACCCAAGTAATGAAGTGAGAACCAGTTTTTGACATTTGGTGGGGTTTCATTGGCTTTTAATATGTACAAGAATTTGGTAAAATGGCCTCTCCAAATAAATATTTTCCACCAAGGTCTTTCATAAGTTATACTAATTGATCATAAGACTCGTAGCTTTGACTTGGGAATTCCCAATGCATATATTTCTTTTTCATTTTTATAACTTATAGCGTTTCTCTACTTTCCCACATATCTTGAGTCAGGTGTTTATTTATATATATATGGCACAGTATAATATTTCCTCACGCGGGTGTTTTCTCTTTCTAACATCATGCTAATGGCATGCATGCACCATAGTCCGATATAAAATACTAAAGGGGTGGTTTATTCACAGACTAATCGTATTTTTGATTATAATTCAAAGATTAACATACAGAGAAGCACTCATAGCTAATAAATGTAGACATACATACATACAAACAAACGCATATTATACGGTAACAACATTTGACAACCAAATAAGAACTAATAATATAATACCTAATGGGGTTATTTTTTCTAATCCCACCAACCAAACAATCCCTAATTAACTAAAGGTAACTAACTCGTTATAATCACTATGCATATTAAAGTTTTTAAAAATTTGTACTTTTTTTTTTGTATTTGAGAAATCGCTCTGTAATGGTTTTACAGTACAATAATTTAGTACTCCCTTTAAAGAGACTTTTAGTGGTGTTCACCACATCAACCATCTTTTCTTAACTTTAATAGCTCAGAAGGTGTTGGAGCTCACCAATATATTAATCATGATTAATTAAGTACTTTTGTTCCACATAGTATTAAAAGTAGTCCCAGCAAATGCTGTTAATCCTCACACTTGCCTGACTTCCACTTCAAAACCTTATTTTAAATTGTTTGAAGTTGTGTTATTTTTGCTTTGCGTATTGATTGGGATAAAAAGAAGGATGTATTTGATTAATGGAAGGACGAAAATCGAGATGGTTCGGTAGTTTCTTTCGTCTCATAAGCAAAAGATGAAGTAAACTTAGAAAGATTGAATAATTTCTATTTTCTAGGATAGCTTTTTGATTAATCCGTCCTAAACAATATTTCACTTTCAACTGGGAAATTTACATCGACTACACTAAATATCAATAAATCTCGAAAAAGAATAATCAGTTAATGATCCTTTTCTTTCGCTCACCTTTTTCAATTTTAGAGTGGATGAAATCACTTTATCCTTAACCAATTAATCTCGTATTCAAGCACTGAAAATGGAGAAGACCCCTAATAGAAACAATTTTTTCTTAATGGTCATACATGGAAAGAAACCGAATTAGCTGGCCAATGGTTCCGGTTATCGAATTATATTAACCAAGAATTGGAGTCCAAACGAATTTTGTAGGAGTAATAGATTGTTTGGTTCTTCTAAAGTTGAGTACACTACTAAAAAACTACCAAAAAGCGTTCAGAAAAATCGATCGAAATCGAACAAAAACCGATCGATTTCCGACTCTTTTCAATTCGTCAAAAAAAATAATGATCACAAACGGGGAGCGACCGCAGGCGGTCTATTTTTCCGACCGAAGTCGATCGGTAACTGTCAACGCACTTTGACCAAGTTATCTGACACAAAATAATGTTAACGACCGAATTCGGTGGTATTGTTGAAAATAATTTTTAAATTAGCGACCGAATTCGGTCGAAATTATAATTATTTATTTTTTTAAAAAGTTGTTCAATTCCGACAGAAATCAGTCGGTATTGTTTAAATATTTAAAATTTAAAATCAAAAATTCCGATCGAAGTTGGTCGGTAAATTTAATTTTTTGGGAAATCAAATGAACACTTCCGACCGACGTCGGTTGATTTTCTGGGTAACTTTTTGGCAGAATACAGCTGTTTTATAGCTGCACCACCTGTAATGCTGTCATTCAACCAATAACAACAACGATAACAACTGTCAAAACTATATTAACAAAACATCATCTCCATCTCCACTAAACTATATTAACAAAACATCATACCCAACAACAAAATGTTTCACAAGTTAAAAGTTCAAACATCATTCAATGAATGTTTTGTACCCACGTCATCTCCATCTCCACTACTAGAAGCTTCATCATTGGCATGGTTCGAAGGATCACGACGAGAAGGATTAGCATCTGAGGAAGGCTCACGAGACCGGAGAATCGGGAAAGCACCACTAGCAAGAAGATTGGCCAGCTGACCTTGAAGGACATTAAATTGTTGGTCCCTCTTTTCTAGCTGAATTTGAAGGGTATCAAATTGTTTATCTCTCTTTTGTTCTCAAGCCTTTATCTCTTCAAGCTTTGCGATCTTCTTCTCCATAGACGAGACAATCGACCTATCAATTGCTTCGCCCTGGCGGAAGTCCCTATACCTTGCAATCCAGCCCTGTAGCGCAGAAATGATCTCTGTAGAAGGGCTTATGCTATCCCCCTTTTAGGTCCACCGACAACATCCAAATATATGTATACTTATATTAATATAGCATATGTTAACATAGCATTAATATGTATACATATGTTGTTGTTACTAAAACTTAAGTATTAATATAGCACTACACCTTATAGAAGTATATACTTTGTTTGTAAATGTGTTATAGTAAGGTTTAATCGAATATAATTGAATTTCCAATTGATCCATTGATAAAGTATCCGAGCAAAGTACTAATAAGGTGATCGAGAATAAAACATTCAACATTATGTGTGTGTGTGTCTATATATATATATATATATATATATATATATATATATATATATATATATATATATATATATATATATGTGTGTGTGTGTGTGTGTGTGTGTGTTATGTGTGTGTGTGTGTGTGTGTGTGTGTGAGAGAGAGAGAGAGAGAGAGAGAGAGAGAGAGTGTATTGTTAAATATATGTAGATATTGTAAATAACAAATAATCTAACAATAATACCGATCGAAATCGGTCGGTAAATTATATATATATATATATATATATATATATAAGTTTTTGTTATATATTAAGAAACCAGTTACCCCTAGGCGAAAAAAAAAATTCAAATTTCCGACCGATTTTGGTTGGTATACTTGAGTTTCTTTAATTAAAACTTATTTTGGTAGATAATATGCAAGTATGACCAAGTCTTGGTCAAAGATTGACCAATTTCCGACCGACATCGGTTGGAATTTTTATATGTGTCAGACGTAGCAGTGTTTCTTTGTTGTGGGACCACTATTTCTGACCGATAGTGATCGGTATCTTTGTCAGAAATATTTTCTTTGACATTTGCAACCAATTTATCTATTTTCGACCTATTTCTGTCGGTTTTTCTTCCAACCAATTTCGGTCGATATTCTTTAAACAGGTTTTGTCGGTTTTCTAGTAGTGGTAGTAAGTGGTAGAAATTTTCGAAGGAAAGTTGCAAAAAGATTATGTAGAAGTTTGTGAAATTCATAATATTGTAGCCAACTTTTGAAGCACCAAACTTAGGTGACCCAATCAGAAGACAATGGACAATTGACTAACTACTCAAGTGGTGAATATACCTAATTTGACCAACACATATAGTGCTTAGAATTTACCAATGTAGGCGTAAAGTTACCCTCGCACTAGAAATTATGTTGGGGCAAGAGAGACATGAAAATCCCTTTGTCTATATTTTATTTCGAGAAATCTATCGATCAATTCCGATTCTTTCTTTTTCTCTTGATTCTTTTTCGATCGAGATGTATAGATAGGTGTCTAATTAGGCACTACGAGTGTTAAAATGTCTAGCTTACAGTTGATTTGCTATTGTTCAATTAACATTAGTTTATGATACTCCAAGCTTAGAAATGACAATTATTGATGGTGTGTTTTTACTTCTATGAGTAAATAAAAGATAAATATTGTTGGTGTAAATTTTATTTTTTTATTGTTCTTGTTAACTTTTACTATTTTGTTTTGTCATTGTTATAAAGCTTTTCCGAGGCACTTGTATGAAATTAAGCCCTTGGCTTTTTTTTTTTTTTTTTTCTTTCTCCATTAAGACTCATAGCTCATTATAAAGATTTTAATAAGAGAAGTGGAAAAATATTCTTGAAATCCACCTTCGAGGAATTTTCTCAACATAAAAATCTAATGAAACAGACGAATCTGTTGGATGGGTCGTTGGAAGCCGTTAATATCTTTATTTGGAAAAACTGTTGGATTTTTATGATTCTTTCTTTTTGGGCCAATATTCTTCCTTTATGAGCTCATCACGATCAGCTTTTTACTATATTCTTCTATTTGTTGACTAATTCACTAGCTTGTTTAACTTTTTCTATAATTGTTTAATGAATCATCTACCTTATTCGGGTACCCTACATCACAATATTCCAATCTTACAAGAGATATAAACTCTACTCTTCACTCTCATTTCGAGTTTGGTATTTAAATTAAACCAACTTAAAGATAAGTTTCATATAAAAAAATCGACAAATATTTTCTTAATATCTAATCCTAACACATAAATTTTCCTCAAAATTATTTTTG